GGTTTTTTGCTTGGGCCAGCATGTACTCTTCTGGCAGGGTGCCGGTCCGGCTTCCCACCTGCGGGTCCGGCCTGTGTTCGTTGGTTGCCCAATTGTGGCCGCCTCCCTCCTAATTTGTTTTGCAGGTGCATTCCGCGCATTCTCGCGCTAATTATCTTGCGCTGTGCCCCAGCCTCGGTCATACCGCCCTTTGGACTTTTCCTTGCGGGCCGCTAATCAAAGAAGTATCCCCGCCAGCACCCCCCACTGGTGGCCCTGATCCCTGGCGCCCTGTGGCGACAAGATCCGTTTGCGTACCTGGTGACTTCATCCCACGGTGCCTTCTTGAGTTCGAGCGCGTTTGCACCTCTCGGACTCCTGTTCTTCCTGGTCGCGCGCCGCATTCCCGGGTCTGCCCGTCTGGTGGCACCGCCTCGCTAGGCATACGTTTGGTCTGTAGATACAGAACATGTCACAACATCTCCTGGCGTGCAGGATCCACTTCACCCGCAAGTATGCATCAGCTACCCTGGCCGATTGCAGTCAGCTCAGCCAGCTCAGCCACAGCCAGCTGCCCCACCGGCGGTCGGTTCTGATTCCGGGCTCGGTCGCTGTGATTTTAGGCTCGCGCGTTGCTAGTTAGATCGGCCCGTGGCCCGGACCTTTCGACTCGGCGCTTGCGCTTCCGCTTGCGCCCGCGAGAAAAAAGTATCCCCACCAGTCGTCGCCGCTTCGCTTCGCCCTCTTTCCGTGTGCCCTTGTTCGTTTTCTTTTTTGCCGCGTACTTCTCGCCACCGTTGTGGCCCTTCTCCGTCTTTCCTGCTAGTTTGGCCTTGCGACGTTATTGACGGTGCGCGGTTGGTTCCGCGACGTTTGCGATCAAAAAAGTATCCCCATCAGCCCATCCAGAAACGATCAGCAGGGGAGTTGGTGAAACAGGGGCGGCAGGACGCATGCAGTCGTGCAGCCGTCTTCGGGAAAACAAGGATCACAAATAGCTACGCAAGGACCCCGCATTGAAGTTTGAAGTTTGAGATGGAAATCGTTGCAAGCTACGATGGTGCTTCGATGAGGGGTGAGGCATGTTTCGGTGACTCGCATTGGCTGTTGCACCGAATTTTATATCTTAAACTCGCGTGCGTTTCGAAACTTGGAGACCTCTTAGGGTTCTCTTGGGGCCCTCTTGGGGCCCTCCCGAAGATCTTTCTTGGGGCTCTTTTTAGGTCCTCGGAGGGCCTTCTTGGAGCCCTCTTTGGGCTCTGTTAGAGCGTCTTGGGGCTCTTTTAGAGGGTCTTGGAGCTCTCTTGGGGCTCTTGAGGGTGGTCTGGGAGGCCTTTTGGGGCAGGCTTAGGCCGCATTGATCAAAATGGGCGGGGGGTCCTTCATTCCTGCCCCCCGTCGGAGGCTCAAACATGCCGTCTTGGGGCTGTCTTGGCCTGCTCTTGGAGCGTTTTTGGGCGCTCTTGGGGCCGTCGCGAGCCCCTCTTGGGCCCCTCTTCGGGCTATATTGGGCCGTCTTGGGGCCATCCTGGGGCCTCAAGAGCTCATCGGAGGCGAAAAAGCGAGAAGGCAAAACACATTGATTGCCTTCAGGTTGTTGAAGGATTTGGCCTCTTGGGGGGGGTCTTTGGAGGCCTCGGAGGGCACTTGGAACCGTGTTGTGGCCGTCTTGAGGCCTCTCGGACGTGTGCCGGAGGCTATATTGACCCATATACCGCTATATTCGACCATCTTGGAGGCCAGCTTGCGCTCTCTTAAGCCCTCTTGGAGCCATCTTGGACCAAAAAGGACCCTCTGCCACCTCGCAGGGGAGCCCGTCAAGACGCAGGGAGGGGGGGAGGTAAACCTCCCGAGCAGGGAAAGGCAGGAGGTTGGAAACAATTGAAACGTTCCAGACCACCTGCGCCCAGAGGGCTGGTGGGATCTCCATCTTTGCCACGCCCGTCGTTTTGCAGCCTTTTTTACAATACGTCAACATCCATGTCTTATCCTCCTGAACTTGTCATCTCGTTCCTCCGTCTTCTGGTAAACCTCGTGGTCCCCGAATTGCTATCTGCATTCGTGTTCGCACTCCTCTACCTCAATTTTGTCCTCGTGCTTTGATGAGCTGTAGTCGCTTCGCTGCCGTCCTGAGAGTCACACATCTTGACAAAACAGGACGAGCTGCCGTAGGAATCGCAAAATAGTCGGTCTTACTGGTAGCCCTGTCGCTCCATACCATGTCGTTCCTGTATCAAATAGTGCCGCGGCGATCGAAAGAGAGCTGGCTTTGCATAAGTTTTTAGATATTAGCTCGTTTTACAGGTCTATCTGGGGATCGATGTTTCCGACTATATTGCTCGAGTTGCCGTCGGTTCGTGGGCCGTTCGGTCTACGAGCATTTTATTGTCATTTGGGAAACTTTCGGGGCCCTCTTGGGGGCCTTGACAGTTCTCTTGGGGCCATCTTCGAGGGCATATATCAAAAAAAAAGCGGTCCCATTGACAGCACCGCCTTTCTGGATCCCGGTACGTAGTCTCTTGGGATCCTTTTTGGGCACTCTCCGAGCGATTTTGTGAGATCTGGGGTCCGTCTTGGAGACTTCATGGGCCCCTCTTGGATCTGTCGTGGGCCATCTTGGAGCCATCTTGGGCCAATCGGACCCGAGAGGGCGAGACGGCTACGGTTTTTTATTTCTGGGTTAGGGAAGGATCCCGGCTCTTCGGGGGCGTCTGTGGGAGGCCCCGTGGCCCTTCGGAACCGCCGCCATCTTGGGTACTCTACTCGCGCCCCCCCCCGTCCAGGCAAACCCTTCCCCGAAGGGGGAGATGGGTGCTGGACGAGGAAACGCGCCAGACCACCTCCGTCCTGAAAGGCCGTTTCGGAGGTTGATGGAACCCCCGCCTTGTCAAGCCGATTCGCGAATTGTTCTTTTCTTGTTCTCGACAGGGCGTTGCGGCCGCAATGATTGCGGGCCTGCTGCCGCCAGACTTGCTTTTGTGTCGTTTCGAGTCAAAGGGAATGTTGCCAAAGGGTTTTCTGTCAAACCTCGAACAGTGGGATTGATCATCGCCCTGGTTTCGTTTTATGGTGCAGTCAGGTCCTGTTACCCCTCCACCCAATCCTCCTCGGGCACGTGCGCCTTCGTCTTGCCCCCCTCACATGGAGGGTGCGCTGGCGGACCAGGCGTCTTCCCCATGCCTCCGTCGTTTCTTGTTCGATCCTGGCGATCTTTTCCAATTTCAGAGCTAGGGGGGGCGCATTGTAGCCCCGCGACTATGCAACAACTGCCCGCGATGAAGTACATTATCCTTGGGCATGCCTTTTCCATTTTGGCTCAAAGCGTCTAGAGAGAAAGTCTGTCTTTCTCGGTTTGTGTCGGTATTAGGCCAGTGCATCGCTGTCCCACAGATTGCTACGTGCTTCCTCCCTGTTATCGTTCTTGGTTCTGTGTGGTGCCTTGTTCTGGGCGTAGTTAATTTCGGCAGGGATGGTATCATTGGATACAGGCGGCGCCAATTTGAGGCAGGAGTGGAAACACACCGATGTGCGATTGTGTTTGCGAACTTATGCTTGTTTACGTGGGCATCTGGGCTCTTGATAATTCCACTGGCAGGGTTCTTGGTGGCCCGTGCAAGCTTAGAAGAGCATTCCAATCCGCAGATTGTTTCAGGCTTGCGCGCATGATGCAATGGACACGAGAGGGAGAAGAGAGAGAGAGAGATGCGAATACACCACATCTTGATCGGTGGCACACTGATGTTTGTGTTTTGCACTTGCGATTTCATTATCTTGAAATCAGGCCAGGTAATTCCGATTCCGCCGGTTCGATTCGAATCGATTTCCGCGATTCCGATTTCGAACAGATTCGATATCGGGATTCCGATTCGCGATTCCGATTTCGAGTTCGCCCGGTCCGGCTTCTGCCGATTCGATGCGTCAGCCGATTCTTGCCGGCTTTTGCCGATCCGGCTTCGCTCTGGCTCTGGCCCCCAAGGGGAGGAGGAGGGAGGAGGAACCCCCAGGGGGGAGTCCAAAAACCGAGGGGGCGGGTCCAAAACCCCCGGACCCCAAACCGAACCCCCCCCAGGGGGGGGGGTCCAAAAGCCCCGGGACCCCGACCCCCCCCCAGGGGGGGTACCAAAAGCCCCGGGACCCCAAACCCCCCCCAGGGGGGGGGGGTCCAAAAGTCCCGGGACCCCAACCCCCCCCCAGGTCCAAAAACACCCCCCCCACCCAGGGAGGGGGTTCACCCCCCCCCCTCCCCCCCAGGGAGGGGTCCAAAAACCCCTAAACCCCCCCAGGGGGGGGTCCAAAATCCAAAACCCCTCCCAGGGGGGGGAGTCCAAAAACCCAAATCCCCCCCAGGGGGGGGGTCCAAAAACTTACCCACCCCCCCAGGGAGGGGGTCCAAAAACCCAAACCCCCCCTAGGGGTCCCAAAACCCAAACCCCTCCCAGGGGGGGGGGGGTCCGATTTCGATTCCGATCCGGCTTGGCGCGGTCCGGTTTCCGACTCGATCCGGATCGGATTTGCCGACTTCAGCCGATTTCGATTTGGCTGCCGGTTTTTGCCGATTTCTGCCGATTCGATGCTCCGGTCGACCCGATCCGGCTTATCGATTAAACGGTTTATATTTTTCGAACGGACTTACACAGGCCAAAAGTTGCAGGGACATTGCGTCAACATGTGCACCGTCGAACATGATGTCACCGCGCAAACACAGTTTGGATCCACCGCGCATCGCCAGACCTTGCGACTTCCTTATAACAGCAATGGCCCACGTGCGACATAACATGGTACTCTTTGCTCGCCCAAGTGCAGACATCTTGGCGTATTAGCGCTCTTCCCTCGTGACCACCGCCTGGCGCTATTACTCTTACAGGGAGAATCCGTGCGATTATAAAAACGGTCCTTGAGAAAGGTTCTGGAGTTCTGGAGCCACGGGTTGAACAGGTTATGGCGTCGGAGAGATGGCCAGGGGAAGTGGGGCCCTGACGAAGCCAAACAAAGAACAAAGGACTGCCCCAGTCTGCTGAGAGATGGTGGTTCCTCCCGTGGGCATGCCCCTGACGAAGCACAGGTCACTTTTCCTTTCTAACTTTGTTTTGGTATTCCTCCGTCTTCAAAACCTAGGGTGTCTGAGGTCTGAGGGGACGGAGGAGTTGTTTTTCAGCACGAGGTCCCCTGAAATCCCTTTTGAATCTGTTTAGGGTATTTTCCGTCTTCACATGTTAGCCGCTTGCGTGGACACCAAATCGTGTTTTATAGCATTGTGGAGGTGACCGGTATGCGGAGTAATATATATATATATACACATATACATATATGTGGTATTAGCCATGTGAAAGCTATGCGGAGTAAGCAATGTGGTGTTAGCTATGTTGTACACGCCATGTTGTGTGAGCTATGTGGTGTAAACTTTGTTATGTGAGCTAGGTGGTCTGAGCTATGTTGTGTAAGCTATTCGGTGTGACCTATGTGGTCGCGTCAGCTATGTCGTGCACGCAACGCGGTGCACTTTGTGAGGTATGCCGTGTGAGCTATGTTGCCCGCCCACGGCGGACCCACAAAGGGCACGTGGCGCCCACGTGGTGCCCACGGGTTGACACAGGGCGCCAACATCCTCGGCGGACGGGCCCACGTGTTTGAGCAACAGAATTGGGCACCCAGGAGTGCAACGGAGGAGCCTTGCTTTTTCATCACGGGGCCCCCCGAAGTCCCGACGCATTCCCCAGGGCCGCCTTCCTATTCCGACGTTTTTTTTTGCCGTGCTTGGGCTCGGCGAGGGCCCTGGCAGGCCGAAAAGGGCGAACACAATCCATGTTGATCGATCTTTTCGAGACGTTGGTTGTCTGGGGCCCCTCCTCCAGCTCTCTGCGGCGCGAGGGATCAGGGGGGTGGGCGGCGGCCGAGGGCCACCGAGGGCCGCCGAAGGGCGCCGTTGGCCCGCCGAGGGCCCTCGGCGAACCGGCGGCGGGCCTCCAGCGGGCCGCCGGCGGGCCGTCGATGGTCGCCGTCGGCGCGGGCTGGCCGTCGGTGGCCGTCGCCGCCTCCCGGCGGACCGGCGCTCTCGCGGCGGAGGACGCCCTCCGGCGGCTGCCCGGGCGACTCGCCGGCCGAGGATGCGCAAGGCGCTGGCCGCCGCGCGGGGGGCGGGGCGGGCCCCAGGCTTTCGGGTCGGACGGGGGGGGAATGTCAGACCAGCGACGGTGTGATTTTGGCAACCGGCTGTATTCCTCGATGTCATCCCTCGGGGCGCCGTTTTGTAGATCCCTGGACCATCCATCATGGATCCTGGACCAACAACTTCCTGGGAAACGGTCGGGGCCTCTTGGGCGCGGACTAATTAAAACAAAAACACATCGTCGAACGTTTGGGACAGGGGGGGTGTACGAAGTATGTTGCAGGTGGTCTCGGCCCCGCAGCTGGGCGCTTATTTTGGCGTCTCCGGCGGCGGGAGGTGCCTTGAGAACCAGCTGTATGAGCTGATTCGCTAATCCCCCCTCGCGTACTACCCGCCCCCTATTTCGTCCAACCTGAGATCTCCGCGCCGCCCACACGATGCCCGAGCAGGCGGGGTCGGTGGATCACGCCGCATCAATAATGCGGAGCGACCCAAGGCCAAATTGTTGTTCCATCTTGACGTCGCCGATGCATCGCCGATGCGGAGGGATCCTCCGAACCCATCGCTTCCCGGGCCCAGTTGGGCGGCCTCCAGGACTCCAGGACTCGCCATGCGGCAAGCGCATCATGAGGGGAACGGGCCCTGAGGTTCTTGCCGTTCCTGGGCCCTCCCTGGGCCCCGAGGCCGTCAAAGAACGGTTCAGGAGGGTGAAGAATTGGTCCCTGGGGAATACCTCGGGGTCCAGGCCCGTTTCTTTCAGGACCCACTTCCTTTATGCAAGCCAGACTCTCGAACCGAGGCTTGAAGGTCGAGGGTCACGGTTTTTAAATTGTTGGTGTCTTATTGGCCATGTTTTTTTTTCGGCCAGTTTTTTATTCCTTCCCAGACCTAGACCCCCACGCGACGCAAACACAACACGACGAAATGCGTTTCGTCAATATCGGCTTTGGATCCCCGCGAGGCATTCAAGCAATTGCTCGGGACGCCGCCTGTTTCTATGCGTTGCAGGGCAATGCCTTGCCTTTTGTCCCGAGTCGCTCTCTGACTGCCCGAGGCTGGCCCGATGGCAAACCTGGCAGCAGACCGGCCGTCTCGAGTTGTTCTCGGGCCGTCGGATGTCAATCAGGAGGGACAATAACACAGACACACATAATCGTCGATTCTCAATGAAATATTGGGAGCCGATGGGAAGTGGAGGAGAAGACGAAAGTCAGAAACATATGGAACCATGTGGAACCATGTGGGGAATCTTTGGATGAGTGTATATTTGTGTGTGTGTGTGTGTCCAGGGGCCCCTTCAGTCGAGGGTGGCCGCGTCGTCGGCGAGCGGCCGCGGAGGTCGGGGGAGGGGGGGGACGCACCGATCCTGGCCAGAGCCCATCCCCAGGATTCGGTAGTCGGTATGCGAGGGCGCCCCGCTTTGCGGTGGGCCTGGATTGCAGGCGATTTTTCTCCTTCAATCCACTGCTTTTCGAGGAAGAACGAAGCCGCTGAGAGAAGGAGGGATGAACCTTGGGATACACCCTAAGGGGGCTCTTCGGACGCACCCTTAACCTCATGCCCGTGAGAATAAACACTAGGGGATAATAAAGTTCGGGGTTCAGGGAGAGATAATAAAAGTAGCCCAGCAGACCTCAGCATAATTTCGAAGTAAGAGATGATCAAGAGGAGACCAAGCCGAGCACGTTTTGAGACATCCTTGGCGTTTAGTTTTCATAGAAATATCCTCAACAATGGCTTATCTCTCATGAACATTGTTTTTTGTAAGTGCTCGTGTAGGGTAGCTCATGTGCCTCAATTTCCATGGATAATCAACCCCAGAGATAAAAAAGTTCAGGCGAGCGTGGGGACAGAGAGAAATATAAAAGAAGATTAATACAGTAGAATAATAATAATAAAGAAGAAGAAGAGGAGAATAAGAAGAGGACGAATAAAGGACAAATCCAAAGTTCCAAATCTATCAATTTTAATTTGCAAACGCGTTATGAAAATTGTTTTTTTTTTAAGTGCTCGTGTAGGGTAGCTCATGTGCTTCATTATCCATGGATAATCAACCCCAGGGATAAACAAGTTCAGGCGAGCGTGAGGACATATAGAAATATAAAAGAAGAAGAGGAAAGTATACTAATAACAAGAACATTGCTCGTTTCGTTTGAGTCTGCCTCCCAAAATTATTGGTTTCGCTTGACACATCCTGAAAAAGTGTGATCGCTTCGCTTGATGTTGCTATATCAACATCGCTTGATGTTGCTATCTCAACATAGCGTTTCGAGGTGATAATGAAGTTCGGCCTCAGCGCTCGCCGCCCAATTTGAATTTTGTATAGGGCGACGATAATCAACTCCAAACACTGAAGGGGGGGGTCCCTTTATTATCATCGGCATGCGGTTATCGAGGATGGACGCCTTCCATCGCATATCCCAGGGTTAGGCCCCAAATGTTTGATACATTCGAAAACTGAGATAGAGGTTGGCATATCCCCTGCCACAGGCTCTACCTGGCGAGGAAGAGGGCCCAGGCTTAGGCCTCCCAAATGGATGCTCGAGCAGATGGGGCCGAAGGACCGCCGATGCATCGCCGCTGCATCGGCGATGCGGCGCGATCTGGAGCCCCTGTTTCCTCCACGCCGACCTCGCTGAGGCGGTGCGATCCTCCGACCCCAGCTGCGCACTCCGACCCCTTCGGGATGCCGCCAGAAAAGAGGGACGGGGGGGCGGATGTGAGATGCATGTTCAACCCAGCGAGCCATGCTCTTCCCTCCTTCGCCCTCAGCGCTGGCTGAGGGCGGGGTGGCGTCTGCGAGCATCGGAGCCTGCTCGAACCTTCTCGCAGCGTCAGCGCCAGTGGGAGGGGCGAGGGTCGCAGTAAGAGAGCGGCGCCAGCATAGAACATACATGGTAAACGAATGTACGTCCGCGTGGGGTTCCCTGGCCGGCACTGGACCCCGTGACGGCGCCAGTCGCCTCACACGCGTTCCGCGCGCCAGGGGAGGAAGGGGCTACAGCGCCGACCCGAGAATCCGCGTGGGCCTCCGAAAGGCTGTGTCTGCGGCAGGTTCGCGCCACGCCGGTGCGGGCGGTGACCCCGGCGAGGGCGTTCAAGGCCGAAATCTCCGAGTGAACCAGCGTCGACCGTCATCGAACGACCCTTGCCCGCGATCGCCCGAGGCCGAACGAAGCGCGATGTGCCAGAAGCCAACGCCGACGTCGTCACGACACAAACCTTCGGACGTGTGTTAGCCCAGTGTGTCTTTACCCCGTTCAGTTCCACCGATGGCATGCACCATGTGTCGGCCTACACTGCACCGCCCGCGTCATATGGACGGGCCTCGACGGACGCGCACACGTCGTCGCTGACACGCGTTTCGAGGATTATCGAGTGCTTCCTTTCCTCGAGGAGGAGGCCTGGCGGCCGCGCCAGGGGAGGGGCCTCGGCTCGCGCACGCGCGCACCGCGGGGTGGTGGGCGGCTTGCTTGGCGGAGGGCTTACACCCCACCCCGGCGGCGGCGCCTGATGGAACCCCCTTTCCGCTGACCCAAGCCGACCCGCTGGAACCCCCCTCCGCTCCCCTGATGGAGCTACAACGCGGCCGATCGTGGTTCGCAACAGGGCCCGGGCTGACCCGGGGTAGCGCCCTGAGCGAAGCCCGCCCCCCTGCGCAGTGGGAACCCAGACGTCCTCGCGTCGCGAAACAATCACGATGGGAGGCTGTGAACCATTTTCGGCCTCGGACCTCCCTCCCCCTGTTAGGCCCCAGGCCAGTCAACGAAACATCTTTTTTGTTTGACGGCCCCAAGGGATTGTTTTTTCACCCTGAGCACGTTCCAGACCTCAAGGGGTCCACGTTGTAAAGAAATCACGACGACGTCGGAGGTCCGAAGGAGACAGGATGGGGAGGACGAGGAGGTCTTGAAGATTGTCCCATCATTTTTCGGGGTCCTCGTCGCCACGGCTGGATCCGCCTCGAGATTTTGGCTCGATATTATCCCATGACAGGACAGGTGTGGGGGCCGACCTTTGCGGGAGGAGGAGGAGGAGGAGGAAGAGCAGGAGGCTGAGGTTAGGAGGCTCTCAGGCGCAGGAGGAGGGATAGGAGGACGTGGTGCAGGAGGAGGAGGGGGCGGACAAGCTAGGTGCGCTCGCGTCATATCTGATGTCCCACCCCTCCCTCCTGTCCCTTACCATGGGGTGGCAATCCTCTCTATTCGCATCGTCGGATGTCGAGCAGGGAACAGGGCAATGATCGCGAGAGGGTACGCGATTCATGGTAGAGCACGGCATGGCATGGCGTAGAAGATCACGGCAGAGCGTAGCATGCCATTGCATGGCGTGGCATTGCGCAGTGAAGCATTGCATCACAAAGCATTACAACCCAAAGCATTGCATCGCACAGCGGCCCAGAACGCAACACCGCACAGCATATCACGGCATGGCGCAAGGTTCCTTGGAGAATAAGTGGGTCGTCTTCGATAGGCCTGGGCCGGTCTGGAGTCGTGGCTCCATGTCTAGCTCTTTGGGTTTCCCGAGAAGCTCCACACAAGGCGGGGCTGATGGAGAGCACCCGCTGGCTCTGCTTCCAACATCGCCTTCTCAAAACAGACAAGGGGCTCCCGCTTGATACTTCCTGATAATGATGACGCCCCAAAGTGGGGGGGGCCTCTTTGGTGCCTATCTGGAAGGTCCGAAAACGCCCGTGCTGTAGCGGGAACGCGATTTGGAAGAACCCGAGGCGCAAAGATGGGGCCAGCGCTTCCGCGGGAGCAACATTTTGGAAACAAACCTAGCGAACATCCATTTCTTGGGAATCCAGTGAAACATTACGCGGAGGGGGGCCAGATATCTTCCGGACGTCATCCGGGGAAAGAGGAGAGTAGTGTCTATATGTATAGACATATGTATGTATGTATGTTGGTCTGTATGTATGTATGCATGCATGCATGTATGTATGTATGTATGTATATCCATATATATTTATTGAAGTATATATGTATATATATGTGTATATGTATGTATGTATGTATGTGTGTATGTATGTGTGTATGGATGTATGGATGTATAGATGTATTTATGTTTGTATATATGTATGTATGAATGTATGTATACATGCGTGTCTGTCTGTCTGTCTGCCTGTATGTATGTATGTGCGTATGTATGTGTGTATGTGTGTATGTATGGATGTATGTATGCATACATACATGTATGTATGCTTATGTATATGTGTGTGTATATGTCTGCATCTATTTGCACACACACACACATATATATATATATATATATACTGGGGGGCGTGGCCGGGGGGGGCGCCCAGGGTCCTCGGCAGGGCATGGGGGGCCCAGGGCCTTACTTCCCTCGTGTTTTTGTTACCCGGCTTCGGCCACCCGGAGCCACCAGAGCCCCAGGTTGCGTGGCCGGGGGGGTCCCGCCCAGGGACCTCGGCGGGGCATGGGGGTCCCAGGGCCTTACTTTCTTTGTGTTTTTGTTTCGGCCACCCGGAGCCACCTTAGCCCTGGGGAGCGAGGCCGGGGGGGTCCCGTCCAAGGACCTCGGCGGCGCATGGGGGGCCTGGGGCCTTATTTTTCCGGAGTTTTTTCTTCAAGGTTTCGCCAGCCCGGAGCCACCAGAACCCCAAGGTTGCAGGGAGTTCCAGGAGCTGCTCCCGCCTGGTGCCCCGGGTCTCCCACAGGCCTCCCAGAAGCCTCCAGGAGAGCTCCCCGAAGCTCACACATTTGGTTTCCCCATCGTTTTTTCCACGTCTCTCTCCATGCAGCCTGTTCTGCATCCCCACGCTGCGCGGCAGCCCCAGAGGACGCCCAAACCGTCCCGGTTCGGCCCCAGACGCCCCCAACCTTGTCCCCGGATGGCTCCACATGGGAGCATCGACGCCTACGATCACCCCAAGACAGCCCCCCGAGCGACTTCGTCGACACGTCATGTTTCCAAGAGGCCTCCCCAGAGGGCTTTCTGAAACCGTCCTCTATGTTTGTCCAATTTTTTCTACGTTTTTGTTCATCCAGCTTGTTCTGCATCCCCACGCTGCACGGCAGCTCGGCCCCAGACGCTCCCAACCTTGTCCCCATATGGCTCCGCGTGGGAGGATTGGCGCCGACGATCACCCCAAGACAGCCCCCCGAGCGACTTCGTCGACACGTCATGTTTCCAAGAGGCCTCCCCACAGGGCTCTCTGAGACCTTCCTCTATGTTTGTCCAATGTTTTTCTTTTACGTTCTACGTTTTCACTCATCCAGCTTGTTCTGCATCCCCACGCTGCACGGCAGCCCAAGAGGCCGTCCATACCGATGAGTTTCGGGCCCCTGGCGCTCCCTACCGCGATCCACGAGGGCGCCGCATGGGAGGGCCGGCGCCCCCAAGTACGCTCCACAAGCCGCCAGAATCGCCCCCAGGCCTGCGCGACGCCGACGATCGCAGACAGCCCCCGAGCGACTTCGTCGACGCGGCGCGCTTCCAAGAGGCCTCCCCACAGGGCTCTCTGAGGCCTTCCTCATTGTTTTCCCTATGTCTTTCCATGTTTTCGGTCATCCAGCTTGTTCTGCATCCCCGCGCTGCGCGGCAGCCCGAATGGGCGCCCAGACCGACGTGGTTCGGGCCCCTGGGGCTCCCAACCGCGATCCGCGACGGCTCCGCATGGGAGGGCCAGCGCCCCAAAATAGATAGGCCCCACGGGCCGCCAGAGTCGCGCCCAGGCCTGCGCGACGCCGACGATCGCCCAATGACAGCTCCCCAGGCCACCTCGCCAGCAAAAGAGGTTTCCTAGAGGCTCCCCAAAGCCTGGGGGCCTGCGGTCGCCAGGGGCGGCCTCGGCATGGCTAAATCTGTTTCGACGTCCCGCGACCGAGCCAAAGACCCTTCACAGAGTTCAAAGGACGGGGAGGAAAAGGAGGGCGAGGACACGGAGGGGAACGACGAGGACGAGGAGGGGGAGAGGGAGGAGGAGGAGAAGAAGGAGGAGGAGGAGGAGGAGGAGGAGGGGGAGGTTGAGGACGAGAGGGTTTGGCCTGAGATCCCGCAGGGCACATCCGATACCTGTAACGGGCCCTGTTACATTATTGTTGTTTTCGGGCCTGACCCCAGGCGTGGCCAGTGAGGCCCGCGACATGGACTTGTCCACCATATCGAGACCACGGGAGGAGTCTTGGCACTGACGCGCCAGAGCTCAACGGCACAACGATCGAGTTCTGGCCTCTGTACATCAAGCATATCTTCGGCTGGCAGACCAACACAGTACCTCAATGAAGGGCGGTGGATATCCCGGGGCGTGGAAATGCTACAGTTGTCAAAGAAACGTGAAGAACTGGCACAACATATGCCTATGTGGATAGCTGTATTCCAAAAGTCGTCATAATACGAGGCCAAGATCGGCAAGTCGAGGAAGAACGGACGACAACATACTTCAAAGTTGCATCAAGAGGCTGCCCCAGATGCCGAACAGGGCGGCCAGATCGCATTCTGCAGATCGGACACCGCCGACGGGGGCAGCGGACCAGACGGCTTTCCGCAAGGACTGCTACGATCACATGCAGAATATCGCCAACATGGCCACCCTGGCCAAGAAGGCCAACAAGACGGAGGATGCAGAAAGACACGACATGGAGCTGATGGTATTGAAGAGCGCGCTGGCGTCACTTCAGCCAGTGCGAGAACAGAAGCGAGATTTCAACTGGAAGCTCGGTGAAACCAGGGACAAGATGGCGTCGACGCAGAGCAGAATCAGAGACTTAGTCGCCACAGAGAGGGAGATCGAGATGGAGATCGCGCAGCTGGAGTCCTGCAAGAACGAGTTAGAGGAGATGCAGGATAACCCAGAGGAAGGAGGACAAGCTCTCGGCCAGGCACCAGGACATGGATTTGGATCGTCTGTTGCCTGGCAGGAAGCACCTCCGCAGCCTCATCAGCAGCAGCAGCCCAACAATGGCACGCAGTGCTGCCAGATGAATGGGCAGTTGCAGGGTCAGCAGCAGCAGCAGGCTCAATGGATCACAGCTACGGGCCAGCTCATACCTGGGGCCGCGGTGGGAGCTGGAACGTCGGCGGCGCAGACAATGCGCGGACCGGGAGGTGTTGCGCCCATGGCAGTGGGGCAGCAGGCGCCGCCACGCCAGCCGATGCCTCCGCCGCCTCAACAGCAGGTACAGCAGCCAGTCCAGCCAGCAGTGCCTCAACCTGCGCAGCAGGATCTGATCAAGTTCCTGCTGAGCATGGATGACAGGCAGACCAAGCAAGAGCAGCAGATGGCGACACTGATGGGGTGGATCAGCAACCAGCAGAACCAGCAGAATCAGCAGTGCCAGCAGAACCACCAGGCGGCTGCAGCGGCGGCAGTGGGGTTTCATGCTGGGGCAGGCCTGGCAGCGCCTGCCCCGATCACGCCGCCCTGCAAGGCGGCCCCGCGGTCGCCAATCGGAGGGGTGCCAACTCCAACGAGACCGTTGTCGCTTACCATGCCTTCTGCGCAAGCCACGCCGATTGCGCCGACCTCGCCGGTCATCGTGGGGGAGGCGACCAGCACGCAGGCTTCGATTGCGGCAGCAGCGGCGAGAAGATCAACACAGCACGAGGGTGGATTGCAAGTGAAGCCGCCCTCGGAACAGATATCACCGACCGAGCCGACGGGCGCCCAGGATGACCCGTACCCGGCTCAGGCAGCACCTCAGGAATCGCTGACGTCGCTGAAGGAGGAGCCCAGTCCAGAGGTGATGAGCGCCTCTCAGGTGCAGAGCGAGGTGGAGAAGATCGATGCAGCGTGCAGATCAGCGAGGGCAACGTCAACGGCAGCATCATCGGCAGCAGCATCAAGATCGACGGCTACGAGCGCTTCGGGAGCACATCAGGGGCCCGCCCAACAAGCAGCTCAAGGTGGAGGGGGCTGCAGGCGGCGCCTGAGTAGGACGACGAAGCAGGTCGCATGGAGCTTAGACCTGGAAGATACTTAGGGGGTCACTAAAAGGGTCCAAGTCTTCCGACGTATCCATCCTGATTAAGAGGGAGTTCTTGACAGTTTTTACCGGTGTAAGCGGTGCCTCGGGAACCCCTGAGGCCGTCGCAACACCTGGGGATTTGTCAGATAATACCTGCAGGTCCAGCAACAGTGTTGATGCATCAGCACTGGCATCATCAATTCAGAGCGAGCAAACAGATGGGGCATTGACATCAGACACCAGAGGGTCATGGGCACCCGTTCGTCGTCAACTGAGGCGTCCAGGCTGAGGGCAGGCGAGAGCAGGGCTGTTGCGGTCACCGGAAGTTCCCAGCTAGAGTCCAGGGCCTTGGTCATGCCAGAAGCATTGCCAAGCTTTTGCAACATGATTGAACATCAGCATGTTAACTTTGAGCATATTTGCAGAGAAGAACTTGTGGAGACAGGCCTGCTAGAACAGGAGGCGTGTTTTTGTTGGGGGGGCTTGCCCTCGAGACGGCAACTTTCGCGACGCGACGGCCATCCACTCTTTCACGGACGACCCCAACTACTCTCAAGGGGAGGGGAAGGGGGCATGGGCTATCAGAATGATCATTTGTAGGGGAGAAGAGTACAGCATAAAAGGGGGGATGCTGGGAGGGAACTTGGAGCAGACCAACGGCATGGGCCTTGCGGCCAGCAGCGCGACTAGCGCGACTTTAGAGTGCATTGTTGTTTTGTGTTATCTGTTTTGGGTTATAGCTGAATCGCCAGCTTGCAAGATAACCATCGACTCGGGCCCCCTGAGTACCATCAGGGCTGCGGAGGGCTCGTGCATTCCAGGATCGGACCCTGGGTTGGCGCAGTTGGTCAAAGTCACCTGGGGCCTGGCCTGCTCGAAAGCTGATGTGTCCACCGGACGCGTGAAGGCCCACTGTGGCCATCCTGCCAATGTGCTGGTTGACAATGCGGCAGAAGCCGCGGCTCGGGGCCTCGTGGGGCCGCCTAGGAGTTTGCCTGACAACTTGATCCAGGCCGTCTCCTTCTGCACCTCCAGGCCTTGGGGATGGCTGTGCGCGGACTGTGACGTTAAAAGCGCGTGCCCCGAGGTTTTGATTGACGGGAACTCCATTAAGTTGGAAGGAACCGCGCCGACGGCGAGAGCAGATTTAGATGAGGAGCCCCAGGACCACAAGGCCCCCCCCCCCAGAGTTGTCGAGATAGCTGTAGGTTTCAAGACTGCCACCTTTAATGCGCAGTCGCTGAGACAAGTGCACAGGCGTGGTGCCAAGGGCCGCAACCGCGCCAGGCGAGCTGCTGCTCTGCGCACCCAGCTGCAGCACCAAGGAGTGCACTTGTGTGGGGTCCAGGAGGGGAGGAATGAAGCGGGGACTCGCAAGTCGGGAGATTGGGTGCGTTTCCCGAGCGGCCACGATAACTTTGGATTGGGTTGCGAGCTTTGGGTCAATACCAGCCTTCCCTACGGACGGGTCAAAGGGAAACCAGTCTTTATAAGTAGACATTAGGTTTCGGTGGGCCTCCCCGCGGATCCTGCTGTGCAGACTGGATGCGCCAGGCATCAATCTGCATGTGCTGGTAGCACTTGCACCGCACTCTGCGCATCAGGCGGCTGTCAAGCGCGCGTTCTGGACGAGATTGAAAGAAGTGTCAGCCAAGCGGCCGCCCAATGCTTGCATGATAGACGGCAACTGTCACCTCCAGGGGGAAGGAGAGGATGGGGCTGCGGGTGGATGGGGTCTCACTGGCAGCATGGGCGCAGAGAGTTTCAGAATGCCAGAGTGGCTTGACCTCGAGAAAGTAAAAGCTGCCAACACTTTCCAGGGGGGGCATGAGTGCGACTACAAATTCACCGCGGGCAAGTCCCAAACCAAACATCGGATAGACTTTCTCGTCGCTGACGAAGGAGTCTATAACTGCATGAGTGAAATCAGAGTTGACTACGGGGTAGATCTTGTACGCAAGCAGGATGGCCACTTCCCTGTCAGTGCCAGAATCAGGTGGGCGACCGACTCCATCAGAGCAGGGAACCGAGGTTCCAACCTTGACCCAGCCAAGATGAATACGTCGGCGCTCGTTGACCAACTCAAGGAAGAAACCAGACACATTTCAGTGCCAGAATGGTCGCGTGACATGAATGAGCACTTGAGAGCCACCAATTTTGAAGTTAGGCAGATTGCGAGGAATACTTCCAAAGAAGATGCTGTGAGGGCCAGGAAGCCATATGTCAGGGATCAAACCTTTTGGTTGACCAGGGTCACAAGATCCATCCACAAAGCACTTCAGCTCGTTAGGCATGCGGGGGGGGCTCGAGGCCCACGTCAGCAGGCTCTTTTTCCCGGCACAGGCAGTGCGAAAAAGGCAGCATCTGGACGGACGCGCAAGATTTAGGGCTGTTCGGTGCTCAGTCTGAATTGGGGAAGGACCTCGCCACGGGCTGGGCGAAGCTACGAAATGCCGGCGCGGATTTTTCCTGGAAAAGACTTGGGGTAGAGGAGTGGGCCCTTCACCCGGTCAAGTTCATTAGTGAGACCAAGGCTGTTATGCTGGAAGCACTTGACAGGGACTACGCGAGGTCCCTTGAGAGTAACGCGGCTTTTCTTAGCGATTGCATTGATGCCAAGACACCTCAGCCTGAGTGGAACACTGCCCACAGGCTCCTACTGCACGGCGGTAAGCGACATAAGGAGACGCTTGCTTTCCCTATGCGCATCGATGCTCAAGGGAAGGTCATTACAAGTCCCGAAGAGGACGCCAATAATCTCCAAGCTCACTTTGAGGGGATAGAGAAAACTGTCGAATCCACATATCAGCAGGTTTAGGATGCGCACAACAAGAGGGGCAGAATCCTGAAAGAAAATGTTTCGACCCGGCTCGACAGTTGCATGTCCAGGCAGGAACATCAGAGATCTTCTCGTCAGTTGAAGAGGGGATGGGCGGGGGGTCCGGGCCAAGTAGACAACGATTTGTTCTTTTGCGGCCCTGAGGGCATGGCCAGACTTTACCGCCCCATCATTTTAAAATCTACCGTTGTCGCCAGAGAACCCCTGGAGATGAAACAGGGAGTGGTGGTCAGTTCTCTCACAGGCAAGGGGGATAAGAGATTAGCCAAGCCCCAACGCTCCATCTTGCTAGGCAACACGGTTGCCAAAGTTCACCATCTTTTTATTAGGAGCAGAATCCTCAACGTTGCGACTCTTTGCATGTTGGACACCCAATGTGGGGGGACGAAGGGGAAAAGCACGGATATGGCTTCCCACTTTGTGCGCAATAGGTTCAGAGTTGACTAACTGCTCAAGAAGAGCACGATCGCGTGCTTCCTGGATCTGACCGCCGCCTCTTACTCTGTCATGAAGCAGTTTATCTTAAGGCTGCCTGCAGAGGAGGAGGAGTTGAGGGAGGCTTTGAGTCAAGTTGGGATCCCAGAGGCTCTGTTTATTGTTTCCAATGCCCTTGAGGGGCAGCCGATACTCGATCATATCATCGAGGATGAGCATCTCCTGGAAATGGTGAGGGACACCCAGGCTGGGGCCTTCTGGAAGGTCCGTGAGGCCACGGCCTTTGCGAGGCCTGCGCTTGGTACCAGGCCAGGGACGACTCTTGCCGCCGACGGGTTTAACGTTGGCTTCAAACAAGTGATCGCAGGCACCGAGCATGACATGAAGCAGGCTTGCCTGGACTGGCATCCGGATGAAGTCGCCGCGCATTTCTGTACAGCAGGATTGGAGCTCGATTGGCAGCTCGGCCTCTTTTGGATGACCTCGCGCCTGTTGCCGCTGTTGAATGTGCTATTGATGTTCCGATCCAGGCGGCGAAGCTACTTGACACTATCTATAAGAATGTCTGCGAGTTTGGGTTGCAACTCAAAGCGGCAAAAACATGTATTGTCCTGTCTATCATGGGAAAAGGGGTCTAAAGGTGTCAACCAGAGGCTAGCTCTGCACGAGAGTGGCTGCGAGGTGGTCTCTGAACAGCACGCCATCAAAGTCAAAGTCAACGTCGCCAAGCAAATCAAAGGCCTCGGGGCGGCCTTGGTCGAGAATGGGGGGGCCTCAGGCGAGGCCCGTCTGAGGACCAGCGAGATGAGACGCGAACTTAGGCCCATCCAGGCTTCTCTTGGGCGTAGGAAGGCTCTGCCCATCCCTGCGAGGTTAAATGATGCGTTTGCCATGTCTAAGTTGTGGTACACTGTTTCGACGTGGGAGCCGCTGCCCCAGCGCGTACACAACCGCTTGGCCAATGCCCAGACGACGGCCTACAGAGCTTCTTTTGGCGAGGCACTTGGTGCCAATGCTGAGGGTCATGTCTCGAATAAAGCTGCGCTGAAACAGGTGCAAAGATTAGAGCACAAGATAGCGATGATAATCTCGAGGTTCCGTTACCTCCCCCGTCTTTTGAAGTTTGGGCCCAGTGGGCTCAAAGTGGCCCTTGATGTTTTGTGGGGCGACCCTGGCAGTTGGGCCGCTGAGTTTCGGAGAGATTTTGCGTGGCTCAACTCCTCGTGCTCTAAGAAGGCTGCCCCCCCTTCAGGGGTCTGATCAGCAGTGGGTGGATCTTGCGAGAGATGCAAGAAAAAAAAACGCCCCTTTGCAGAGTTATGGAAGCTGCCAAGAGGCAGCTCCATATTCAGCAGCAGCTGTACCGCGCTGATGAGCTCAACTAATGGTGTTTTGTTTTTGGGGCCCTTCCGCGCGGTGGGGTAAGCGATGGGGGTTCAAGATGAAGGCCAGGTGGCCATGTTCTTATGTTATGAATGTGGTTTCACTGCGAAAACTGTCAGAGGGCTCGCTACTCACAGAGCCAAGCTCCATAACAAGTCATGAAGATCCGGACGCTTGGGCGCGCTGGAGCTGCTGCCAGATTTGCATGGCGGGGTTCCACACTAATGGAAGAATGATCGAACACCTCAAGAGGTGCCCCCAGCGTGCTTCAGCGTGGAGGCAATTCCTACCGCAGGTGGATCCTGCGGAGCTGCAGTCATGGAGACAGGGGAGCTTGAGACACCATGCGAAAAAAAAAAAAAAAAAAAAAAAAAAAAAGAGGGAGAAGGGGAAGCATGAAAACGTTGTTGAGCGCGTTGCCTTCAAAGTCTTTGGCCCCCCTGTTGCGCCAAGAGGGGAAATGACTGGGTCGTCTTCGGTGCAGGCGCCAATGGTCTGGCAGGAATCCACCCAGGGCGCTGTCGAGGTTCCTGAGGGTAGGCCTGCCGACGGAAGGCTGATGCCAATTTTTCTTGTCATTTCGGAAGGGGGGGCGCACAGAGCTTGACTTCCAGGATATTTTGCAGAGGGGGTGTGCCAGTGCTGAGCGCACGATGGAAATTTGGCACATTGCCTGGCAGGATTGGGAAGGGCAGGACGCTGATGAATCGATGAAAATTCTGGAGGAAGGATGCGTTGCGGGGGGGCTCGCGTTCATGCCCAGGTGGGCTGGCACGAAGAAGTCGAGTGAAAGACCCTGTCGCGCCGTGGAGCAGCCGCGGGGGAAGGCAGCTCTCAATGCTAGGGAGCGGGACACGGTTGACGATGAGAATGCGTGTATTTTTTCTGCTGTGAAGCTCCAAGGGGCCGCGAAGAGACACAGCATCCCTTGGATCACCCTTTCGCACAACAGGTGCGGACCAGGATTGAAATTCAGTGAGTTTCCTGTGGTGGGTGAGGTCATCAAAGCGGGGACGGCTGAGATCATCGCTTTGGACACTTGCACTTTAGGATCTCACTCCGTTCTAGAGCCTGTCGTCTTGCTCCACTCGATGTGGGGCTCGCGCGACGGGCAGCACATGCGCGCGCGCGCCGACTGGAGGGGCGTTGTGTTGCAAGCGTCCCTCTCCGAACCATTTTATAGATGCGTGAGCCTTGCGTTCTTGAGCGTGTGGAGGGAATGTGTATTCGGATGCGCCGCGATGTCTGAGGGGGGGGGGGGGGGGCTGGACTCTCGCCCGAGGTATTGGAGGTCCTTGGATCCGTTCCTGTGTTGAGCCGCCCCTCGGCCCCTCGGTCGTCGGCGGCGGTTGCAGGCGCGGGCCCCTGATGTCTAACTGCACGGTGCGCGGGCGGCTGCCCCGCAGTGGGCATCCCTTCTTTTTGTTCCATGTCTCTCGCTCCTTTTCCAGGAAGAGGCTTCGGATCGAACAGGCCTTGAGGTCGCGTAGCGTAGCGTAGCGTTGAGGACGAGGACGAGGACGAGGGCGAGGAGGACCATTTGGACCATTTGACCAAGCACAGCCGCGCGGGGAAGAAGGAGAGGGGGAGGATGGCAGGACCCCGCACAGAGGTGCTTTGGTGCAGGCGGAACCCCGCCTCACCGCCACGCCCCCGCGCCGCCACTGGCCAGTTTGCCCCCCGCAGGAGGGCCAACTGCCCAGCGGCGGCGGACGGTCCACCGCCCCGTCCCTGGGGCCCAGCGGCCCTCTCGCACGCTCTCGCCAGGCTTCCGAGGTCTCGCGCGTCGAGGGCGGCCTGCAGGGCCCATCGGTACCCCTTCTCCACGGGGGTAGTTGCCCCCCCCGATGCGGCGCATGTTCTCTCGGCCTTTCCAGGATGTGCCCTCGCACTTGGCCGCCAAGTGACGTCCATCCACTGTGGCGCACTTACCGCAGGTGGTGCAAGGACTCCGGAGGAACCGCCCCCACCTCTGGACAGCGCGGGGGGGGGGGGGGGGGGCGCGGCCCGCCCCGCCGCCAACCCCCCGCCCCCCGCCCCCACCGAACAGACAGGGAGGCCACGGCACTGGGTCTTGGCGGCCTCGACGAGGCGAGAAGCAGGCACCGCGATATTGCACTCGCTGAACCTCCATGCGCCTCCGCTCAACTCGAAACGCTGGCTGGAGGCCTGCGGCGCGAGTTTCCTCTTCGACGGGGGCGCTCTCCATTGGACCGAGGCCCGAACCTCGCTCCATGGGTCGGCCTCCGACGCCAGGGCGCGCGCGCTCGAACCAGGGCGCCGGTCGCGCCCCAGTGGCCTGTCTGAGGCTCGCCCCCTTCCACCAACGCCGCCCGCCCTCCCCCCGCCGCGGCCCCCGCCTCTTCATCCGCCAGCGCGCTGCCCTGAATTAGGTAGGGATCGATCGGTTCGCTAGGAGAGGTGGCTTCGCCCTTATGAGAGGGGGCCCTCTTGAGGTTCACATCTGCCGACCGAGACTGGAAGGCCGCGCGAATTCGAGACCGCAAATCCTGGTTGGCTCCGTTTTTCTGGAACTGCCGACCCCGCCCCCAAGCTCTCACGAGGGGCTCTTGGTCAGTCGCGAATAGAAAGCGCATGGGGACATGTTCTAACGCGATGGCAAGCGCGAGCAGCTCAGAACGAGGGAGCGGTCGCCGCTGACCCCCGACTGGGGTCGATAACCCACGCGCCACCTCCAGCCCCTTTGGCCGCCAGGTCGCATGGCGATCACCGCGGCGCCACACCTGCGCCTGGGCGGCCCGCGCTGCGCCCCCCCCCCCCCCCCCCCCTCCCGATCCGTCTCCGAAAACCACTGCGCGCCCGGGCGCGGCGCGCGGCTCAACCTCGGAAATCGGGAGCGGCCCCAAGGGCCGAAGAGCTTCTTCAAGAAAAAAGAGGGATGGGTGTAGCTCTCAGGCGGCGCGCCTCTAAGCCACAGCTGGGCGACTTTCCCGCAGCGCCTGAGCCTGCTGCCACATGCGCTCGCTCTTCTCGATTTTTTTTGTTCAAGCCGACATTGCACGGGCACTCCCCAACTCGGTGAAAGAGAGTCTCTGCGCCCCGGTGGCGCCTCGGGCACAACGTGCCAACCTCGTGTCCTAGAGCCGCCTGCCTTTCTCGAGTGAACTGTCTGCCCGAGACTGCGACCAGCCAAGAGCGCACTCCCGCCCCCGAGGTCCAGCCCCGCACCCCCATAATGTGATGCAGCCTGGGCCCAAGACAGGGGCGACAAGTCCTGGGCCAGGTCGCCAAGCAGCTCGGTGAAATCGGCGCCCCCTCTGCTCGAACCCCTCATCGCCCGCGCCAGGCATCCTCCAAACCTCGCTCCCGCTCGCAGTCGGGCGGCGCCAAGAGTCCGGGGCAAACGGGGTCCAACCGGCCTCGCGGAGCGACGCGATCGCCGCGCTGACGGGGCCTCGCACTCGATTTCATCGCGATTTAGCAGGCCAGAGACGAGGGGTCAGATGCTTCCACGCCGCTCGGATACGGCGGTGGATCTCTGGCGAAGATTCCCAAACTAAACAATACTCGAGGACCGACTGGCGCCGCAACTCGAGCCCTGGATCTTTGCCCCCCAAGTGCACGGCGATCACGGTAGTCAGACAACGCCCAGACCCCGTTCCAGCGATAGCCTGGCCAGCCTGACGCCTTGGGGATTGAATCTGGCTCGGGCTTGCGCCATGCACCCGGTGCCTGCGCGCAGCCTGGGAGGGCGCCTGTGGTCCAAGAGGACTGCGCAATCTTAGACAGTTTTGTCGGGTGCCTGAGCTTCCTGATGCGACGGAATCTCTTCGTGGCCTCGCCAAGTCTACGCTTAGCGCTTGGGGGGGCCCTAACCTTGCCCATCGCGGCGTCGCGCCCTAGGTCCGAAACTGATTTATCAGCCACATGCGGAACATTGGCAGCCTTCAACGCCCGACTGATCCGCGCACTGACCTGAGACGACGAGGCCAGGATTGCGGTCTTATCGGAGATGACCGAGGAGGAGGAGGAGGAGGAAGAGGAAGAGGACGAGGACGAGGAGGAGAGGGCGGAGGAGAAGGCGGAGGAGGAGGAGGAGGAGCGGACTAGGCACGAGGGAGAGGGGGTGGGGGTTGGGGGTGCCTCCTCCTCTCCGTCGTCGTCGTCGTCGTCCTCCTCCTCCTCCCCTTCCTCATCCTTCCGTAGCCATTTTGGCTAAAGCCATTGTGGCCAAAGTCACCGTGTCGCCCTGCGGCCGTATGGGGGGGCCTCTGGGCCGAGGACAGTCTCGAAGTTTTTGGCGACAGCCCGCGGGCTCCGCGCCGGCCCGACGCTTTCCGCGCATAAGTCCTGCGCTGCGGCAGGCACTCCATGTCCCAAGACCAGCCTGGCACTTCTCGCCGCCGGCATCCATATTCCGATTATTCTTCTCGCCCTCAGGCAGCTGGCGGGCCGAGCGTTGGCGCCGCTTCATCGCGTCCATCCTAGAGCTCCACTGCGGGCAAGACGCGCTGTTTTCGAATCGGACCTCATCACTGGCAGCAGGCGTACCATCAGGACAATAGCTACTCCAAGAGCAGGAGTGGAGGTGGCCGCAGTGGATCCACACGCGCACGCAGACAACGACGACACCGCGACCGACGAGACAGATATAGAGGGGGCGACAACAGAGATCGCGAGCGTGGACATGACGCACATCGCGAAGCAGATCGAGCACCACAGCGCGCAGCTGGACCATCGGCTCCACGCCCAGACGCTCTGGCTGAACGAGACCCATGGAGAGCTGCAGCGACTGGCCAATAATTGCGCGCAGGAGCTAGCGGAGGACCTGTTCGACATCACGGACCTGGGCACATTCTTCTCTCGCCGCGTGCTAAGCGTCAAGTTGCGGAGGATTTGGACATGTTTCCCACGTTCCCTAGAAAAGGTGAGCTTCCAGCCGCTGGTGCACCGGTTGGTGGATTACCAACCCCGCGAGATGCTGATGCTCCTCCTCTGCTTGGCGACCTGGCTCAACAGGAGCAAAGGCTGGCCACGTTGGGAAAGGAGCAAATCGCAGCGGCGACGGCGCAACTCACGGCAACGGCGAATTCTTTCATTGCTCAACAGCAGCAGCTCTTCAACGCGCAGGTGCACGAGTTCTTGGCAGCCAGCGAGCAGAACGCGTCACACCCCGAAGTGCATGACAAAAGTATACGCGAACTACAATCCCGAACAAACAAGGTGGAGGCATATCAACAACGACTGCGACATCATATTCATGCGATGGAACAAACTTTGGCTATGGCAGAAGCGGCAGCCCCCTTTGATATTCAGAAGCTTGCGACATGGGGCCGAGTTCCAGACCCTGCAGCGTTCAGCAGCGGAGCACCGAGAGCAATGTCACCAGCGGCTATCAAGACGGCGCTGGCGGAATGGAGACATGCTTCCGGGGTGCCTGTTGATCAACTCACTCTTCATGGGCACGTGCCCCAACGACGGTTTCACTTACAAGTTCAAGGCGGAGCAGCCGCCCCTGCTCGAGCCCTGGCAGTCTCTCGCGCCCTCAAGACACCAGCTTGCTTCCGCGCATTCAGCGGCCATGACACAGGAGGCGTCAATACCCCTGCATGCGTCAGCGCCGACAAGAACGCAATACAGGTCATGTTGGAGCTTCAAACGAAACGCCTCGAGCGCATCATTCAGGACGCTTTCGCAGATCACAGCGCTGGGGCACAGCGGGCCAAGGGCATCATCACTCTTGATGCAGTGCCGCCCGTGGTCGTTGAAGCTCAAGGACCTCATGGGCCATCCGCATATTACGATGGGACTTGCCCATCCTCGCCCGCTTCAAGATTGACAAGGAACCTTTGATGGCTGCATTTGGACAGGCATTCGCTAGCGTGGGTGCGTCTACGTGGTCTATTTAGCAGGCCATGGTCACCGTGGACCTCGTTCAGGAAAGGCGCAATGGGACAAGCATGTCTGGGACTGCCGGAAGCCTGCTCTGTTGCACGCCTCATCGCCGAAAAGCCAAGCTCAACGCGCTTGCCTCGTTCATGCGAAAGAGAGCGGTGATTCTACTTCAGGAATCGGAGGTTGGGGGGTGAGATCGAAGTGGAACGGAGAGCCCCCCTACTCGGAAATCGATTTCGGTTTCGTGTTCGTGCGTGCCGTGCGGACGAGGCGAAGCTGCGCGGGCGGGCGAGAGAAAGTCCTCTGTGGCTGAGGCGCGGCCGGACCAAATGTCTCCCTTCCGGGCGGCCGGGGGCCCGCGGTGCCCCGCCGGTGCCCCGCTGGTGTCCCGTGTGGCTGAGGCGCGGCCGGACCAACTGACTCCCTTCCGGGCGGCCGGGGGCCCGCGGTGTCCCGCCAGTGCCCCGCCGTGTCCCGCGGTGTCCCGCGGTGCCCCGCGGTGCCCCGCGGTGCCCCGCCGGTGCCCCGCGGTGTCCCGCGAGGATGATGATGATGATGATGAGATGATGAGAAAGAGCGTGTTCTACCGATGCTGGCGGAAAACCGGGGGGGGTCACTACCGGTTCGAACCCCCCCCCTCTCCTCCGGAAAACCGGGGGGGGGGTCACTGCCGGTTCGAACCCGTAGGGACACCTGTCATCTTGCTGTGGGTGTGTTTGTTGCAATGTACATGAGCATGCAGGGGTATCTGAGGATGCGTGCTGACATGCAGCTTCTGGCTCATCGCTCGCGCCGCCCGCCAGGCCTCGCCATCATGTGGCGCCTTGCCTGCAGCCTGGCCCTCCCCTCGCTCGCTGGAGCACACCCGTCTTCAGGCGGTGCGCCCCAGCATGGAGGTGAGGTTTTCCTGCGACACGCTGAACGTGGGACCCTTTTCTACCTCTACGATGACAGCATCTACAAGTACGATCACTGCACCATTTTGGACCCGATCGTGAACAGCACCGTAGCCGCGGGTCCGTGCGGCAACGGACCGCTGGGCGCCATCGTGAGCGCATACACGCCCTTGTCAACTACGACACATGCATCGAAATCCACTCCCAGCGTGGCCTCGACTGCGGTGCTGCAGATCCTTGACGGGGACGTTGATTTAGGCCAGGCACACAGTGGCGGCTTCAGCCCCGCTGTTGTGCCCCGCTATTGCCCCACGGGTCTCACCACCCCCCTGTGCGCTAGGGGCGAACCCGAGGAGGACCCTGCTTTCTGGCACCTGATGATGATCCGCGCCCGGCTCATACCGTGTGCTGCGGCGTGGGCACCAGGTGAGGACCACCAGGACGTGTTCTGGGCATGGCTCGAGGACTGCGTCCCGTACATCCTGGCGACGCTTCATCTGCCACAGTACGATCACCTCTTTCAGGAGGATTCTGAGGACACAACCGACGCCCTGCGTCAGCGCACCGCGGTCGACATGTGCGAGGACATCTGGCACAGAGCGGGCCCCGACAGACAGCGCACCAACCGCAACCTCACTCGTATCCAGAGCAGCCGCGAGTACGCCACCCGCTACTTTGGCCTCCTTCTGGAATACCAGGGCGCTCGTGCCACGCTCGTCGGTCCTGAGGCTTTCACGGCACCTTTGCCGCCATACCTCTCACGGGCCCATGCTTTGCTGCCAAGAGGCCTCCCTCCACCCGACCAAGACGCCATGGCGTACCTCGCCGACGTGATCCTGCACCAACCGCCAGACATGCTGCCGCTCGTCGAGGCGGAGCTCGCCGCGGCGCCGATGGACGGCACCGATCAGGCCGCAGATGATCCCGTATCATGGCTGCTACAGCACATCGCGGCCAGCGATATCGGCAACATATCCATGGACTCGTTCCACGCGTCGGACGATAGCCAGGACGGCATCGATACCCAGGATCGAGACGGCACGACACCACCAGGCGACTCGGCCCAGCGTGACCGCGACAGTGAACCCTACTTTGGGCACACCTCGTTGCACAGCAGTCCGCCCCACAACTCAGCTCAGGCCGACCCCGGCGCACAGCTCAACGACGCTGAAGGCGTCACTGCCGCCGACGCGACAAGCCATTCCACTGCATCGCCAGCTCATGCCAGCCCGTGCAGTGGCGGCTTCAGCCCCGCTGCAGCACTGGCTAGACCTGGACATCCCCAGACCGCAGGTGGCAGCACCACGCCCTTCACCTCTGTACACCGTGACAACGCGACTGACTCCAACCCCAGTGTCATTGGCCACTGGCAGGCCGACATCGACAACGACCCCATCGATGATGAGTACCCAGATGCCAGCGGTTCCCACGAGCCCCAGCACAGCGCAGCGGCATCACGACATTGTGGCTGCCTCATCTGCCTCTTTGTGGCCACGTACGCCATCGCGATAGCAATGCCGTACAAGGACCAGATCGATGGGTACTTGCCGACACCGAGCCGAGACCCCAGCTACCGACAACGACGACGACGCAAAGCGACGGCACCAGGCCCATCGGTGCCCACCACATCCCGACGCAAAACGACATACAACGTCACGTCCACATTGTGGGCCACTCTCAAATGGACCAGCGTCAAACTCAGAGATAGCGTCTCGGGCGGAGCCACCGCAGTCGGGGTCGGCCTCGGGGGTGTCCTGAAATGGGCCAGCGGCAAGCTAGGGGCTATTGCCACGGGTGGAGTCGTGTGTGGTCTTCTACTCGTCGGTGCCAAACTTCTTGCCCAGGGAGCTGTCGGACACGTAGGAGCCCGCATCTGTGCGCGGGCCCTGGACTCATCCACAGCCCAGTGGTGCCTCCGCTGTTGCCAACCGAGCAGGAGGCCGCGTGATGAGGCCGCATACAAAATGCCGTGCGCGCTCGCCGACGAACACGACGACCAGCATGTGCACGCACTCCGACATCCGCTGCTGCAGGAACACTACGCCGCAGCAGTTGCCGCCGCAGTCGCCGATGTCACTACCGCCACCACCGCCGCCATCGTCGAAGTCACTGCCGCCGTATCGCGAGCCTCGTCTGTCACACCAAGATCGACCAGCCCGTCTCCACGAGACGGCTCCAAGAGCGGCGCGGCATTCGGTAACCTACCGACTAACGAGGATGCCACAGCACACGGCAGCGACACCGAGGCAAGGGAAACGCGTGAGCGCACCCACGATAGCCCGTGGTCCATCTTCCGACATGCTGATGCTCGTGGTTCCTCCCCCGACGCGGACACCCAACCACCACGACGGCGAGCACGCTATGCATCACCCGACAGGCCCCAGGCGCCTTCAGGCCCTGGTATGCCTTACACAGCCCTCAAGCCACCGACACGCAACTTACGCAACACTATCCAGCGCGACCCAGCGGTCCCCGTGCCGCCGAAGAGCATACTTAACGCCCTGTATCAAAACGGCTTTGCGCTAGGTAACAGTGGCGTGTCTACAGAGGACATCAAAGACGCTCTGCGACTCCACGACCATCCTCGATTTACTCATGATCCAACACTCCAAGCGCTGGGGCCGTGGACGGACATCATGCAGAGGCCACCGAACCGCCTCACTTGGGTGCTGGAAGACTCGGGCGGGAACTCAGGCGAGACAATCTTCCCATACCTCACGTGGGACCTCCGCCAACCCACCACCGACGCGCCCACTGTCTTCTGGCATGGGACCCGCGGCGACCTTGCGGCCCGTCTTGCTGCCAGTGGAGGGCACCTCTTGCCAGGTCCCCGCCGTGAAGCGAAGGGCCGAACTGGCACCAACGTTGGCCGCACGTACGCGAGCGTGCACCCTTCGCTGGCCGCGTGGTACGCAATGCCGCCCCACCCGCCCTACAGTCTTGAAGACGACACCCTCGCGTGGGGACCCATCGCACTCTGGATGTGCGAGGCCACCCAACCACCGCGCGGGGAAAACAGGCACAACTACGTGAAAGGGGAGGCCCACGGAGCGCGCCTCATTTACCCTCGGGTCCTGAGCCTCCTCATCCGCATGGACTGGTGTGCCCCCACAGAAGCTGCTTCCAGGTGCCGTGCCCTACCACACGCCTATGGCATGGGCGACTGCGCGCACGCCCTTCACATCGCTGGCTACGATCATCCAGATCTCCGTGAGGCGGCTGAAGCTCACGACCAGGAAGCTAGCACCAGGCGCAGACCAGCCATCGCGGCAGCGTGGCCACCGCCGCAGGCACTATACTCGCCAGAGGCAGCGCGAGTATGGGCCAAACAGCACTACGACACGGAAGCAGCCACCAGGGATGACCCTAACCAGCCCCGCCCACGCGTCTCGCTTCACATGCTCCAGCTGGACCCGAAACCACTCATCGACCTGGTGTACACTGGCTTGCAAGCTGTCCCCGTGCGGGGGCACCCTGACGCACGCGGGTCGCGCCCCAGCGGCTCCAGCCCTGGGGCCGCGTCGGGCCCACCACGCACGTACAAGTCAGGCACAGCCCTGGCGCACAGTCCAGACCGCTCATCGACGTCATCAGGAGCCGACGAACGCCGCACGCCTTCCCTCATCAGCGCGGCCGCCGCCCTCGCCCGAGGCCGTGCCCGCCCACGACGATCTGCCTCTCGCTCGTCACGACAGAGTGGCGGGAACTCCACCTCAGACAACAGTGGCATCGAGACGTGGGAGCACATTGTGACGGAA